ATTGAAAGGGAAGCTCAGCAGACTGGCGATCCCCAGACTGGTATTCAAAGAATCCCCACGTATTCTTTGAATACCTTGAAACATTTAATAAAATTCTTGAAGTCTTCAATAAATACTTCAGTTCTGAAAACGACGATAGTCTTCATGTAGGACTAATACTATCAAATTCATGAATAAGGATAAAGCTGTAGTTTTTACTTATTTCCTAGCGCTTCCATTCCAAGATATTGTTGATGGTAAATATGTCATTCGAAGAACAAACCCTTCTGAAACAAGTAATATCTTCGCTTTTAATTTCAAAACTGCCATTTATCCTACAACTATGAATGAAATCGATATAACTTTAAAAGAGATCTTTACTACGCCAAGATTTTACTTCAAACCATTGCATCCAGAACCGACTAGAAGCAACACTACTCAAACGCAAAGACATTATTAACACCATACTAAAACTGACCGCCATCGCATGATTTGGAAGAAGTCGATTATTATCCTCTTATATTCCTAAACCTACATAAAAACTGGTGTTATCCAGAAAATGAACCACTTTCTACAGAATCATACATAGTGGCCTGAGAAATGCAACAATCTTACTCAACATCATCTTCGACCCGGACCAGTATCACTTCTTTCAGGTTCTCCGATCGAGAGCTTAGTATATATTAAGTTAATGAGTTTTAGTACCATAAAACTCAACACCAAGGTACTCAACACAATCCAATGACATTTGATTATTGACAAAACAATGATTATTGCTCATGATCATAGTCAAATAAGTTATATTGCGAAACAATTATTAAATTGAATATCTTTTCTTAAAAAGGAAAATATTTTTTCTGTCATGATCTATTATTTTATGTGTATATGACAATCTAAAATGCTTGTAGGGACTTCAAAGATTGCATAGCACAAACAAAAAAAAACCTAAGAATTATTGCGAAATTATTGACTGGCCACTGTAGAATGGATAATCATCTATCGAAGTTATGAAGAGAGAGAAACTGCATACCATGTGCTTGGGGAGTGCCCGGCACTGATACACAAGCGGAAGAAACACCTAGTAGGGTATTTCATGGATCATAAGGAGTTAAGACTAGGAAAGATAAGCTCTATACTGTCTTTCATTAAAGAAATCGAGCTTGGAGAAACACTGTAATCCGACTAAGGGGCACAATAGATCTTTTAGGTGCACGATCCCTTCTTTTCAATAACAATAATAATAATAATTTGTAACTATATAACTCAAACTACGGTATCGAATAAAGTCGTTTCATTGTAGCACTCTTAAATTGCTTATAAGCAAATGTTTATGTATATGTGCCCAACTAAAATACTTTAAAATAACGCGAAATTAATATTTGAACTGAATATATATACATATTTACAATATATGTGAACAAACAAATCACTTCCTCTACATACTCTATAGATCTAATTCGCAATACAACCAAAATGATATTTTATACACTCTCACGAACTTGTAAAAATGCTGACGATAAAATAAAGCACTTAATAAATAAATCTAATTTTTTATTTTTAAAAATGTTATATCTCCAAGCCTGAATACAATCTTGAAAGATAAACTATTTGCAAATAACGTAATGATTTTATAATTTAACTTTTATATTACGAATTATTAACGTTATTAAGGCATATAACTCAATAATTCTTAATTGCGTTGTTATTTAATTTTGTTGACGGTATTTAATTAATAAATTGATAAACAAATGGAAAACTACTTTAAAAACAGATGAGTTTTAAGTAAATTATTAAATAAGATATCGGTATCTGATATAAGTAAATTTTCTCTATTTCTTCCACTAATATCCATTAACATTATTGCAACCTCATTATTTCTATTATTATTATTTATTATACAACAATCTTTACGTATATATTAATATATATATAATATATTAATGTATATACAATATATATTGTAAATTGTTCATTATTCCCTTAATTTAATTTAAAATTGTTAAATAAACAAGTACTCGTATTTACGTGAATTGCGTCAAATGTTTTGCTCATTACTGTCATTTATAGTAATAAATTGCTTTAGATAAAAATATTCGTTTAAACATGTAAACAATACATAAATTATGAGAAAAATTTAACAAATAATTTTTAAGATTTATAGATTTTGAATATTTGAAATATTTTTAGAAGTCAAAAATTTTATTATTAAATAAAAAAATATTTTTTGTTTTCGTATTTTTAAACTCTTAAATTGTAGACAAAGAATGCAATTTTAATAAAAATAAATTTTTGTTATTAATAAATTTTAACGTCAATATTTTCATTTATTTTTTCTTTTGATTTTTAGGTACGAAATAATATTGCTTTAAATAAAAGATATAATTTTTTTGTATATAATAAATTTAATTAAATTTCTTATGACTACAGTAAATTTGATTTATTCTTAAATACTAAAACCGCAAATATTAATGCTAAATCGTACTTATACATATATAAATATGTTTATATTTGTGTAAGTATATATAAATTGATGGCTATTTTGTTACTATAAACGTTTAAAATTACGCTTTTTTATGGATAGTAAATTGTGCAAGTTAAGTTATTATTTTTTTAATGAATTTTAGCTTTTGAGGCAAAATTATTTTTCTTTTGCATTATTTATAACAATTGATTTTATTAATATTATAAATTTCATTGTTTCATTTCATATAATATTATTTGTGTGCTTTCGACTGTAAAGGGAAGAAGTAAACATATCTGCAATAAATATAATATCAATATCATTTAATTTTTATATAATATTATAATTATAAATTATTATTACAATTTTAATTTATATATAATATTATTTAATTAATAAATATTTATTAGTATAAACATTGATTAATTAAATTTTACATTCTGTGATTATATATAACAGAGCTTTAATTTAATAAAAAATGAAATATTCAAATAATATATTAATATTTTAAATATAAATAAATAAATGTAAATATTTCTATATAGAAGTGTTATTCTTACAATTTTAAAAAATTTAACATTCGTTAAAATTAAATAAACTATTGTATTATGATATATGGTATACATGGCCTCAATATAAAAATTTAAAATTTTCTGTTTATTTAAAAAAGATTTATTTCATATTATTAAATTACATATGCTTTATAATTTTTCAAACATTTAATTTAAAAAAATGTAATGTACACATTTTAAAGCATTTTTTAAATAATTACTATTTTATTTTGTTTAATCATAAGTGTCATTTTTATAATTATTATTATAATAATAATCATTATTAATAATTTGAATAATTTTATAATTCATTAGTAATTTATAATAATCATTTTTAGTTAGATTAGTACAAATTTTTGTATATATTTTTGTACATATATTTAAAACATATATATTCGTTTTTTGAATCATGAGCTCAATTCACAAATCTAACCTGTCGTAAATACTGACTATACATTACTATTGACTCACTTTAATGAATTGATTATAAATTAAACGGTGTTTTGCTATTGAATTGAATTGAATTACATCCAAATTATTCGCTTCAGAGCTTCCCACTTTCTAACAACTTTTAATTATTTTGCATAATTGTGTAATTGTAAACAATTTATTATTTTTGTTATATTAATTATAGAATAAATTAATATGCATAGATTACAAAAATCGTGCTGAATAAGATTTATAGACTTTTTTATGAAGTCATCTTAAAATAGTAACTAAAAATTTCAATATATAGAAATATTTAATAAAACTAATTGTGTACATCATAAAAATATCATAAAAAAATTTTATTTCATTTCATTTTAACCAACATATAAAAAAAATTTATTAATTAATAGAATTTTTCAACTGACTACATAGCTGTTTTTTTTTTTGTTATTTTAAATTGGTTCTTTGTCATATTAAACTTTTAATTAATTTAAAGAAATAAACTTTTTTTATACAAATAGTGACTGAATTGAAATTTAAAAAAAATTAATACGAAATATTTATAAATTAAATATTAGCCTATTATATTTTATTATATTATATATTATATAATATATATTATATTATATATTATATAATATATATTATATTATTATATATTATATTATTATATATTATATTAATATATTACAAATATTAAAAAATAAATTTAAATAAATAACTTATTGTTTTTTTTATATGACTTTAGGATTTTGTTGTTAATAAATATGAAGAGAAGAACATTTTTTAATTTTGTTAAATTCATATTTGTGAAAATAAATTCATTTTATTCTTTAAGCTATTAAAGTATTACTTATCCCACTCAACTTCTTAATTTTTCCGAATTTCATTATTAATCAACAAAAATAAATTAAGTCAAATTATTAATTTATTTTGTTTCATTAAATGGAAAAGGATTCATGTACGTTTTACTCCTAGGGATATTTTCTCCTCATTCCTTTAAATGAGAATCCCTTTATTTAAGGGATTCAAGCTTAACTCTCGGCTTTCAATGCATTTCATATTTCCGTTTGAAAAGCTTCATCTACTTATAATTTTTTAAATAGAAAATATGTTTATTTACGGCTCTGCTAACTTCAATCACAAAATGTATTCTTTTAACTGGTCGATTATTATTCACTATAATATATTTTATATATAAAATTATAATGTCATAATAAATTTTAAGGATTATAAGTTATACGAAGTATAAGAATAGAAATAAATTTATTTTTTAACATTATTTTATGTAATTAAAATAAATTAAAACTTTTTAATTTTTGATTTATAAACTTTTATAATTTAAATTTATTTTTTATTTATTTTAATTGAAATGGTAAAATATTTAAAAAAAAGAGCAGGTGGCACTTTTTGAATTATAAAAAATGCATTACTTTAGTTTAATAAAAACATTTTATATATTAAAAATTATTTAAATTAAAGAAAGCAACTTGTTTTCATTTTTTTACGCTTCAAATTTAATTCGTAATGTTTTGTTTATAACGATTTTTCCGACTTAAAGCTATTTAAACGTTAATTTTAAATATAAATATGATAATTTAAATATTTAACTATTTTAGAAGTAATTTTTTATTTTTTTTCGTATGGAAAAATTGTTAAGTTGGCTGCACTTGGCGTGTGCGGGTCCTCCAGCGATGGCGGCTCTAAAGCGATACGTAGCTGAGATGGCGATACGTCATAAAGCTTCTCTGTTGCACACGTTCATAGAGTTGTAGTTGAGTTGAGGTACAGAAGGAAGACGAAAATAGTTGATATTTATTAGTATTTGTCTTAAAATTATTTTTAAAGGCAAAACTATTTTTAAATAATAATTAAATAGAAAAAAATATATAATTTTGAGTTGCATATTTACGATTACAGATACGTTCAGGCAGGCAAACAAATCAGGTTAATAACTCAAATGAAAGATACTTGTTGTTTTTGTTGTTGTTGGTATTATCTTGGTTTTTTAATGTTTAAATAATTGTTCAATAATAAAAAAATTTTGTTATTAAAATTGTGTTATTGCGTGCAAATTTATCACAAAAAGTTAAAAAAAAATGATTACTTGTCGACTTAATGAACATTTTAAATATACAATAAGTATCATATATTAGAGTATTAATACATTTAAGAGTTATAATAAATCAAATTTATTTATACTATATAGAAAATATATACTCCAATAATTTTGAATAAATAAGAAAATATATTTTTAATACGAATATTTATTTTTTTTGTTTTTTTGCTTACCACTTATACATATAATTATAATAATTTATGATTAATAATAAGTGTAAATACATGAACTGCAAATTATGTACTGTTTATTTATAATAATATAATAACTAAAGTAATTTGTAAATAATTAAAATTTATTAATTTTATTTAAATTATGCATTCATATTTATATAGTATTTTAAAATATTTTAGTATTTAAAAAATTTCAAATTTCGAATCTTTGAAACATAAACTAACATTTATTAAGAAATAACTAAATTATTTCTTAATAAATATGGCAAATACTGTTTTTTGTTATTATCTTAGTAACTGTATTTTATTTATGACTTTTTATTAGTGACTTTAATATTAATACAAAGTAATATATATGCAAAAATACTTCTTTTTATTTGAACAGAATCGTTCAACAAGCTCATAAATAGAGCAATACACTCCTTTGAATTAATTTTGTTTTTCAAATTTAAATAACATTTTTTAATTAATAAACACTAAAATTTTTTTTATAAGAAGAATATGTTTATTATATATAAACAGATATAAATGCATTATTTAAATGTTTAAATGTACATAAATATACATATACATATGCGAAGAGAAGTGGAGCAAACATAATATTGTTTTATTAATATATAATAGTGTATAAGTACTTAAAGCAATTATATAAATACGAAAATGATTAAATTTTTAATTACTAAGAAAAAAATTTTTTTATATATATAATCAACAATATTAATCAATATAGGTAATGACAATTGTTATTATTAATAAAAATTGTATATATGTATATTAAAAATTTTAGTTGTAAAAGTAATATTTTGGTTTTGTAAAGTTATAAATATTTTAGTATATATTGTTTAGAAAAATTTTGAATTATAAATTACTAACTACGCTTACAAGATAAAAAAAAACAAAATGAATATATGTATAACGTTAACTATTTTTAAATTTTAACTTTAGTATTAATTATAGCATCACAAAATAAAAAAAATAACATTGCATTCTAATTATTTAAGATTTAATAATAATTAAATAAAAATTTAAATAATTTTTAGAGCATTAATAAATAGAGCGCAACTAGACATTATCATATATATCTGATGTAGAATCATCTATACCGGGCGGTATGGTTGGTGTTTCATATTCATAATAAACGGGATAACGTGGCTTAAAGCTTTCATTTTTATCATTAGTCGTAATACTGCTCATACTGATGTTCTGCAAATATTCATTATCATCATAGAATTTATCACTCAATGCCATAGCGTCCTGATACGATGGCGGCACTAAAATACAAAATAAAATTATTAAATTTAATAATTTATGTTAATATTATATTTTTAAACAGAAACAACAACGGTTAAAACAAATATACTGCACTTTATAAGCTATTCAAAATATAATTGGTAAATCGAATTAATAATTATAAAATATAAAAATAAAATTGTAATAATATTAATAAAACGGAATTATATAAAATAAATAATATATATATATAAAATAAATAATAAATAAATATATAAAATAAATAATAAATAAATATATAAAATAAATAATAAATATATAAAGTAAATAATAAATTTGGTGACCGCGAATCCCACAAATTAACATCCAAATATAAAAGGCAACGTGTCTTTAACCTGGTCGATGTTATCCTTATTGTGCTCAATACAAATTGCCACACAGCCTCTGCGTAGTTCCATTATATAGGGACTATAACAAAAGCTACTTAGCAATTGGCAGGTAATAAACAACTAGTACATACAGCGAATCTGATTTTCAAGACCCCAAGTTTAAGTTGAATGCAGGATTGGATATATTTCACGTAAAATCGAACGAGAAGCCAAAACGTGCTGCTTGGAACGTTAGACCAAAATCCATAAGTAGGTTTCGGAAACCAATTTAGAAAGTGATAAACAATACTTAATAATATTAAAATAAAATAGTATATAAAAACTAATATAGATATAATGAAAATATACATTGGAAATTAAAAAAAATTAATAAAAAAATTAAAAAAATAAAATATAATAAAATAAAAAATTGTTCACTTTCATGTAAACCATCAATTGTGATACCTTAAATAGCGTAGGAATATTCAAACAGATAATGATACCTATCACTTATATAGAAGTCAATATAATCATATAGAAATTAACACACCCAAGTAATACTTTTGAGTCTAGAGTACAAGCAAAGAATCTATAGTACAAAGAAGTGCCACGCTCATATAAACGAAATACCCACTTTATTTTGCTGGTGGATTTATAATAAATCCACCCAACCTGATGCAACAATGTTCGATCGAATCACATCTGGTATGATGTTCAGTTCAAACCTATATGTGAGTCGAGTAAGGCTGACAAAAGCCCGACTGCATACGTATTCAATCATACATGCAACCCTCTGTATTACATTATATGCATGTTTGTATGTTTGTTCGCTGTAAAATGTTCAAGCGATCAAACAGCATTTCAGTGACGAAGTCAAAATTGTGTACATTTCATAAGTTTTTAAATTTAATAGTATATAAAACAAAATTACCTGTTTGCTATTGGTATGAATTGTAGTGTAAAAGCACATTACAAATTTATTTATGTCTCAAATCGGATTTTTTTCTTTTTCTGACTTTTCCAATTTTAACATTTCAATCCTTTGTAAATAGCATTCATGCGCTTCCTCAAACCAGGAAGCATTATTAGTGGTTTTAGTGACTTCTATACATTTTTTCAATATAATTTTTCTTACTTTTCTAATATTTTTATTTTCTTTAAAATACTTTTCAAACACTTTTATATGAATCTTAAAAATATTTTTTAAAATAATCACAAAAAGTCACCAAAAATTCAAACTATTAAGAAGTAGTTCCTTTTGAGGTAAAATATATGCACACAAATGTGCAATAAAAACATACACATTAATATACTGCAGACTTAATGTCTCCAATATCACATTTGTACATACATAATGGTTTTTGTAGTGCATCATTTGTTGCAATAAAAAAAATAATATATTCTATTACTCTTTACTCCTATGATATGGGCCTTGTACTGGAAACAAGAAGATAAAGCAACAAAGTATATCGAAAAATTATTTGAGGGATTTCTTTACCATTCACTTCGCTACTAATCAATGTATATTAATAAAATAGACAAATAAAAACAAGGCAAAAGAAACAGGCGTATAAAAACAATTGTGGGTTGCAATGAGTTTGAACTGGACGTCATACCAGTTGTGACTCGATCGAACATTGTTGCATGAGGTTGGGCGGATTTATTATAAATCCACCAGGAAAATAAAGTGGGTATTTCGTTTGTATGAGCGTTGTACTATAGATTCTTTGGTAAAAGTTTATATATATATATGGTATATGGATATATCGTATATAATTATTTGATACCTTTTTGATAACTACTTTAAATATAATACCCATACACCAAGCATATAACAATATCTACCTGGGCATTTATTTGGATTGAAGTCTATGCAAACATATAGAAACAAAAAAATCCATATAAAACTAGTAGAGCTTAGAGCTTAATATAAAAGAAACAAAAGCATAGAAATAAAAAATTCATTAAACTTGCTATTACGGCAAGACTTTTAGCAACTATCGATATCGATAATTAGCAACTTTCTCACATTCCTACCAAAACACTTTAAGTTATAAAAAAAAAAGACAAAAACTAAACCCATCTCGTTGAGTTTGGATAGTTTAACAGATCTTTCACCCTTATCTTTAAATAGACAGTCTGACAGACTGTCTAAAAAGGACTTCCCTAAAAATCTGTTTTTTCTGTAGGCTTTAGGTAGACCTTAATACTTTTTCCGATAAGTTTGCACAACTTCTAGAGTAAGTATGTGAAAAGAAATGTGAAATTTCTCTAAAAGGGGTTCCTATACACCAGTAACCAGAGAGAATTGCAGTAAGCATTGCAGTAATCACGCGTCCCTTTTAATGACTACCCAAAATCTGGTCTTGGTTTATGAGATCTACATTCTTTAACTAGTTTTGTTTAGAGAAGGTGAAAGTGAAGTTAAAAACACATGAAATATAATGGAACAGAATAGTCTACTGTCAGCATTTTATGGGGATATAAGAACTTTAAGGGATTATCTTAACACTTAATAACACGAAGTTCCTATAATACATCATATGGAATATATCCCTATTTTATAAACTGTTTTCTATACAAATTACTTTTATCTTATCTCTTACTTACTCATAGGTATATAATCCGGTGGATTGTCTCCATCCGTTACTAGTATGGCAGGCGTGGCTCGACTTTCATGTTGCTCCTGTTGTTGTCGCAATGAAGTGGGTGATGGTTCACCACTAACATAACTATTATTATTTGTGCGCGTTGACATTTGTATATGTAATAACGTCTCATTAATGGTCATAGGATTGTCCATAATTGGTATACTACCAATTGTTATAGGTACTTTAAGCTTTAACTTCCAATGAAATTCAGTCGGCTTTATAATGATTTTAATTAAATAATTCACAGATATGGGACAAGTTGTTCTAGCCGATGTTGGTGCTATGGATGGTAAATCCAACCAACCGCGATACACTTTCCGACTCCAACGTAAAACATTGCCAAATTGCTTGCGCGCTATTAAATTTTTATCATAACGAAATTCATGTTGTGGATCGTGTGATTCGTAGATGACTTCTTGTTTTAATTTGACTTCGCATTCGGTTATATCGATTGATGATTCGTTATTTATATAAAGGACGAAATGTATTTTTTGGCCGGGTGCATAGCCACAATAGGGCGTTGAGAATTTCACAGTTAATGGTCCAGTTGGGCAACAAAAGCTCCAAAAACGTTTGCGATTGAGTATATCTAATGGTATCTAAAATTAATCATTTATTTAGAGTTGAAATAATTATGGATTAAAAAAGAACATAAAATAGAAAACGAATTTATTATAATATACATTTCTTAAAGTATTAAGAATATCTATTTTTATTGAAAAAATAGTGTCTGCAATTCTAGAACAAAATCTGCTTATTTTTTCATTCATACCTTTTATCGCTTTTTAGTAAAAAAGTAATAAACCATTCAGTAATAAGAGCCCCCATATAACTTACTATTTAGGAACAAAACTTACTATTTAGAGGAACAAAACTTACCCTATATATAGCATCCTCATTCAAATTCAACGGTTGTATTACAGTGAACGGCAGTTTAAAGACTTTTGGATGCCTGCTGGGTCGTTCGATAGTCGTTATGATTTCGTAGCGTATTTGTCCGTATTTGCCATCGAACGCTGTTGGCAAATTTTCTGGCAGTATTACGTGAAACGTATACGAATATTCACCTGCACTCCAATCCATGCACGAACTGCTGGCACATGTGCCCAGCACATATGAACGGGATGACAAATATGAGCGATACGCGCGACATATTGCGCGTTCGCTATCACGTGGATATCCTTTTTTTATCCATCTCGTTTTTGCGTAACCGCTGACAGTGATGTGAATAGCTATAAAAAATTTATTAAAATAAGATGTTATTAACATTATTATTTATTTTTTTTTTTGTGTAAATCTGATGTAGTTTCAACACACAATTAAAAAAGAACACACAGCGCAGAAGAGGAAACTAATATGAAGAGGAACCAACCCTAAAGGCACCTTTAGCGTTGGAGTGACGAGTCGATTACATTCATAAAAAATATTTGCAAAAGATGTTAAAATCATAGGAACTTCAATAAAAAGATGTCGCTGCTTACGTCACACTCTAAGTAACCAGGATAGGCAGGATAGATTTAGTCTCTACTCTTCTATACTACGGTTCTTGCAAGGGCGAAAAATCACTAATTGCAGTACATGCGGTTATATAATGGCCTGCCACTGCAACCAACCAACCACCAAGCTCAACAAATGATTCTGTTTTACGACTACGTTATGGCACTTCTCCTAGGTAGAACAAATAGCAGGTGTCCATAACTTGCGTCACCATCTTAGCAAAATGGATTTCTTTCGGAAATCGAAAATCGGATCGGTTTGGAGACAGATAAAATCACTAATGCTTCACTCCACTTCAATCCGTTGGGAACGTTATCTTATTTTATCTCGAAAGTCATACTTAAATCTGTCTATGAGAAATGTGTGATGGATTAGAAGTCGCTTTTTTCAAGTAAAACACTTCATAGTTTGCAAAAATACGAATTTTATGTTATTTTGAATTGTATTAAATCTAGTTGACAAATTTGTCAATTTCCAATTAATATTGTTTGATAAGATCCTATATATTTTCTTTATGAATGATTGTTTTTTTAGTACCTTGAGTACCTTGTGGACTCCATGCCAACACTTGCCTAGCTATGTACTTTCTCGGTTATCGAAGTGTATGGCCTATCCATTTTCACTTTCTCTTTTTATTTTGATTCGTTTGGTGCACCAGGCGTTCAATTGATATTTGATCCGGCCACCATATTTTGAGAATTCTACGTAGACACTTGTTGACAAACACTTGTATCTTTCTTTCTATATGTCTGGTGTGCTTCCACGTTTCACAGCCGTAGTACAAGATAGATTTCACATTTGTGTTAAAGATTCGCAGTTTGGCCTGCCTACTGAGTTCACTAGATCGCCATATATTGTTTAGTTTATCAAACGTGGCATTTGCTCAATTAGCTCCACATTCAATTTTTTCTCTACCATTCATCTTGCGTTTTGGTTTTAAGTACTTATCTTTAAACCAGTACGCTCTGTTTGTTCGCCTAAGTCTTAACAAACCTATTAAACAATAGCAATTATTATTAAATAATTTTCTTGAAAAATTTTGGATTTTTAAGTTTCAAAGTATTTTACTATATAGAAAGAACATTTGAAGTAGAGGCCTAAATCTTAAGTAATTAGGGTTTGAATTTATTATATATTGATTTTTTCTTATTATGTATGTATATTAAATTTCTTACGATTCTAACAAATTTTTAAGTACTAAATAATGTTTTCTAAATAAGGGCATTTTTCAAAAAGTTTCAATATTTAGTAGAATAAAGCCAAGTTTCGAACCGAGACTAAACTGTTACCCGCAGAAAACTGATAGCTTAGCCGGAGTGAAAAGCAGCGTCAAACCGAAAAAAAATAGGGGATAAGCACTGCTTATATATGTATATTCCTCTTCAGTTATTCATATTTAGAAATGTAAGGGTTATTCTTATCATTATAGATAAATCAGTAAAGTATGCTTTCTTAATAGTATATATGAAATGATTTTAATAATAGGAAAATAAGATTCCTACTTTTTTAATAGAACCGGAAAGGAAACTGAAGCCCTGGTATTAATAATATTAAAATTTAATTTTAATTTATTAATTTGTTTTTTTTTTTTTGTGTTTGAGGTTTAATAGGCTTATAAGAATGGAATTGTGCTCTTCTATCGCCTAAATTTAATTGTATAGTTCTTAACAGATATATTAACATTTAAGGTTGAATAGCTATTTCATTAGTCGCCGTACAAAATCAAAACCAATTTAAAACTAAATTAAAGTAATCATAATAAATTTTACATAAATTCATAATAAATGTAAATAAATTAAAATAATTTAATTAAATATTTTATATTAATTATTATGTTGAGGCTAGTTGAGTCAGTGCATCTGAACACTTTTATTCTCTATTAACTGCGAGGTTTCTTCAAAAGCCCTCTTTGCGCCTTGACTAGATTGTTGTTTATCACTTCATCAGACTAAGCAATAATTGACCTCAGATCTGCATACCTCCCCGAGGAGCCTGTAACCATTTTGAGATTCGATAATGCGGTGTTGGTAAGTCTGTCAGATTTCGCAAATAATTTCAGGGCTCTATCCTTTATGTATTTTTTGATGGGATCAATCTTGATGTCCCTGAGAATATCACATTTTAACTAATTTAAAATAGAAAATTAAAGCCAAAATTATAAGAATATTTAAATTAAATTTGAATTATTTTATTAATCACTTTCACCGCTACTATTTGATGGTGACATTAAGAAATTAAGGACATTTTGAAAAGGCCTTTGGCAAATAGGAAAAAACAGTTTAAAAATAGACTTCAGTTTAAGTGGATTAATAAAAAAAACATTTTTTTTTATTTTTTAATGGAATTTTTAAGCAGAAAATAATGAATATTAAAAATACAACAAACACAACAATTAACACAAAATAATTAAGGCACAGCAGAAACAGACATAAAAAAATTGCGGAGGGGCGATGTAGCATTGCCATCAGTGGGTGGCGTTGTCAACACTAAAGCTTTCGCTGACACACACCAGAGTGACATACAAGCGTGTAAAGCCACGCACAAATGTACATAAATTATGAAACGCTAACACAGAGATGGCAAAGGGATTAATAAGAGTGCAGGATGAGAGCTGTGTGGTTGTGTGTACAAGTGGTTGGGAGCTCAAGGGATTCAGTTTAGCTGACAAGAGGGGACATTTATATAAATATACTCGCATGTAGATGTATATATAGGTCTCAGGGTATAACAAAAGTTGTTGCTTGTGTTTTTATCCTGAACATGTGTGTCGGATTTCGTATAGCAGATAAGCGTAATTGCACTAAAAAGTGAATATGATACCCAACAAAAGCAACAACTATAAATGCAGTAACAATAACAATAACAATAACAATTAAAATGCATTTACAATGTCCTTGCCTGTTGTTTTTAAAAATATTATTGCAGCTTAATTTATAGTCGCTTGAAATTTGTGCCCAAAACATTGCAGCAAAAACAAAATAAAATTTAATCGGCGATGGTGATACTGTTACTGAGCTACATTTTTATCTATTGTGTATAAAATATATATATGTATGTTGTAAACAATAACAATTCTATCAGACCAGTTGACATTTCCACTGAATATTTCGACATTTTTTTATTAGTAACTTATTTAAACGAAAAAGAAATGGAAATAATTAAAAATTCAGTACAACGACTTATTACTGTTTTCAAAACAGAAGTGATTTGATAAAGTTATTGCTTTTCTGTATTAAAAAACGAATTATTCAAATTACCCTCTCTTGGTTGGCAGAATTTGGAAAAGCAGACATTTTGGTGGTTTTTTGGATGTAACCACCGGTTACGGAGATCATTAAGAGAAGTCCATGCTCCTATTCTTCAGATAGCTAATAATAGGAGGAAAACTCTTAAGCCATATATAATTTTCCAGTAGGCCCGACCTACATAAGCTATACAGAAAAACTCCGCATTAACTCTCATTGTTGAAGTTGAAATAATCAAATCAAAGAAACCATCAAGCATTTCATTTTGACTACTCAGTTTTGGGTTTCAGTAGAAACATACTGTTCATCAGTAACTCCACATAACTTAATTTTAACAAATTACAATTATTTTATATCTCTTAAGATTACTTGTGAATAATATATAGATATAAATATAATATAAAGATATATAAACATTTGTTGGTTATCTTGTTTTATATTATTTGAAACATTAATCGGTTGCTTGAAGGCAACAATGAACAGACAGTAAGACTCGATATACACTCAATAAAAACTCGATATATTGCTTTTAGGGTCGATAGCTTTAAACTAATTTGGAACTTTCAGATGAAATGCTAGAGCGTCTATACTATTTTTAACGTATAGAAGTGTCATGAATATTATACACATATATCTCATTCGATGCATTTGGAAGAAGGTCAGGTGTCAATCCCTATAGCTCCTTTGTCTACGTGGAACTTTTAGATGAAATCCTGGAGCGACTATAATTTTTATATCGTTTAGAAATGTCATGAATTTAATATACATATCTCATTCAATGCATTTGTGACTGTTATCACAGATAATGTCCTGTTCAATTATTGGTCTCCGAAAATTACGTTCATAAACATTAGTTACCACTTAAGCTACTGTTAACGTTCTATCTCGTTCGTTTTTTTTTATATATAAGACTGTCATTAATTTAAATAAATTTTTAGACTTATGTGCCCAAAATCAAATAGTTACCGATTACTTAATTGTGTATTGTAAGACTGGTCTCTATTATGTCCTAAAAAGTTCATAATCTGTCGTAAAACGTACCCGAAAAAGTTTGTTTATATATAACAGGTATATCAGACATACGTTATATGCTTCACTTGTTTTCTAAGAATATTTATTTTGTTGTTATTTTTTTACTTTCTTCTTTATTTAGTTAATTTTTTTAATAATTATTTTATTTTTGAAATTAAATTCCACTATTATTAATTTAATTCATATATTGATTTTAAGATTAAATAATTGTCAAATACTGGATTCACACGAGAGTTTTGTTTATAATTTTAGCTGTCAAAAATTTTCATTTTGCATTGAAAGCAACAACAATTGAAAGTTAAAATTAAAAACAAAACTCTTGTGGAATCCAGTATAAACGAACTGATAACCGACGATGCCTACTTTGAGTGTAGAGTGTAGTGTACACATACAACACACTTAAAGCTACTAAAAGAAATTAAAAAACAAGTAGGAAAAGTGGTGAAATATGCAAAGAGAGTTTTTTTAGTTCCTTTGCGAATTAACAAAACAAATAAACGAAACTAAACCACAGACAAACATGTGCAAAGTAGGGAAACTTCTGTTCAAGGGCGCTTGTTACGTCTAAATTAACAAAGAATTCCCCCACTGGGAGAATTGTCACTACGATAATAAATTAAAATTTTCGCTCATGCTTTAAATATTTTAAATTTAATATGAGGAAATTATAAGTTTAGGTGTTAGATATAAGGGCCTTGTTCTAGTGAGAGCTCAATCCGCTTCTGTTAAACAAATTTGTAATGCGATAGGCAAAATTAAATACACTGCGAAAAACCGCAAATGCGAAAATGTCTTTGTTTTCTTTTCTCAGAACTTTTGTTCCAGTGTGACATCAATAGTTTACAGTTAACTGCAGTAATTGACATTCTGGAGGAGCAAGTGGTAGGCTGCAGACAGTCATTAAAGGCAACAGGATATGGCTGAGCTACCGTAATGACCGTAGTGAGTCATACTGTGCAAATTATTCGGAAGTATAGAATTTAATTAGTATTGATGTAATGTAGTTGTGTGTATATATGTATATGTGTGTTCTATACATATTTGCATGCATAAAAAAATTTAGTTAGAGTTTTTTAGGTCAGCACTGGTGCTTCATTTAAAAATTTCCCATTACTCACCTTTAATTCTTTTGGTTGTGTCGACGCCAAGATCGACCACGCCAGATAATTCTTGTCCAGCATAATATACACCTTGAGGATTGTTATCAAAGGATATAAGGCACTCAATTGGCATATAGGCACACTAAATATTTAAATAGATTACTTTTTTCTTCACTTGTTTTAATAATAAAATATTTATTTTTTTTTTCTTGTTAAATGTTTCTTATTATTCCGGAAGTATATTTTTATTTGTTTTACTAAATTAAATTCCTCTTTATTAATAAATTTTAAATTCTTGAACTTATTTTTCACATTTACTTATTTTACACATAAATAAAATATCCTTTAACTTGCAAATCCTACCTCAACTTCACTTAACTTGTCATTTAAATATGCAGGACAATTTTTTTTATTTTTATATTTTATTTTTGCTTTGACTAAATTCCTTTTCACAATTTTGTTTGTCGATGCTTCATGCGCCCCAACGTACTGTCCTCGCGAACGACCAACCTTTTGTGTGTTTTCTGTGTCATGTCATCGCACAGCAATGCGACTGTATCCCCACGTTTTGCTCCAAATTATTATTGTTGCTCCAGTCCCTTTTAGCCTTTTGGCAGCACTGCCAAAATACAAAAATTTGTGTGCTTCTCAATTTGTCATACACTTTGCTTTCTCATTCCTTTTAGCTCAGCTAATTGTTTTCCTTTGAATTATCCTTTTGCTTTGACATTCGTCTCGTGAAAGTATGAAAGCTTTTGACAGTACGGCTCAAGCGCAGCTGTCAACCAAAGACCGAGATACGAACGTTTGTAAACAACTTTGAATTGTTTTTGTAATTTGCATTGTACAAAAATATTTATCTCGTGCAATAAATTTGTTACACAGTGATGGCTAAAAATAATATTTATTTATTTAATTTACATAAAGAGGTTTTCGAACAGAAGTGAAACAACAACAAAAATTTATTTTTTAAATTATTTTAATTAATTGAATTTTTGGCTGACCATACAGCTGTTTCGAGTATTGCCAAATACCCTTCATCAGTGGTCTTGGAAATAATTCTTATATTTAATTATTCGTAAATAATTATTTTTGAGACTGCAAGTACCAGGAATCGAACTCGGGTCCTGCCAAATATGAAGCTCAGAATCAGCGCACCTTAACCAACTGATCCAAAGCCGTACTTGACTTTTTATGTTCGCATATTTTTGCTGGAGTTTTGTTACTTTTGCTATGAAAGTTTTTATTAACAATTTTACTTGCTGTATTTATATATTAGAACGAAATCATAAACCAGCTGTAGAATAATTGAATTAATTAATTAATTATATTTTTTATTTTTAATTGTTAAATTTCAAAACTATTCTATTCGTAGAGGCATTTATTTAATTTATAATAATTTTTGTTTTTTAACGGGCTAATTTGTGAAGAGTTATATAATAATTATTTAACTATTGACCAATTACCCCTTTAAAAATAAGAAATATTATTAAAAATATTTGGTCATTAAGACAATAAATTTATTTAATTTATGTACATTCAAATTGAAATTGTAATCAATTTCATAATAAGTCCAAGTTCTGATACACAACAGAATTCTCAATTTGGATTTTAAATAATATTTTGTAAGAAATTCTTTGAATCATTAATAAATTAAATAAAATAAAATAAAATAATAAGTCCGAACAAAAACGCCTTCAGTTAGACAGTGTTGGCTAAAAATATTGTCATAGTACATATGAAACACATAAATTTTTATACGACTCAGTAATAATACATATATCTGATTTTTAGTTCGCAACAAAATAATAAGTGTACTCATTTAAGCATATATTTTTATTAAATACAGAATTTTATGTGTTCACGTAGACGGTTATAAGAACGCACTTAGTGAAATATATATGTAAATTTTTCAATCAACTATATAATAGCACTATTTATATCAGTAATAATTATGACAATACAAACTGCAATGCTTAGTAACGCAATTTTTCAACCAAACGTTTAGCCAATATCGTTGCAATATTAAATATTTGTGTAAACCTTATGCGATCAATTTATTCAAAATTTTTATGTAAATTTATTAAATTTGTGTAAACGATTAATTCATAAAAGCTTTGACACTTAACTTAGAAATTTTATGAATTTATACGTTTATAAGGTTATAAGGCATTTATCAGTTTAGATAAGTGCATTTAATTTAATTATTTTATCTTCGTGGTAATTTAGTTAGAAGAGAGATAAATAATTATCAATATAAGAGATTGCTTGTATGAATATATAGTCGTATCTAAAATATATCTATGTATATATACACATAAATGTGTGTAAATAATATAAAATATTTTTTCTGCCTATGTACAACACATAAATGTAAACAAAAACATATAATCAAATAGTAATTCATTCGGTAAAACAACATAAAAACAAATAGCAAATTAACTGCAAAATAACCACTTCATTTTTTCGGTTTAAATAAAGTTTGTATAAGAAATTTCATAAAAACATATACGTGTGGTTTTTCTGTTTCACTTTTTTTGATAAATGCAATAATTTATTATTAACATTTAATTAACGGTTAATTAAAAACTACATATTAAATAGAAAAAAAGGTTAACGAGAAGATATTTATATTTTAGAAATTTTTTAGTATATAATCACATGAACTTTCAGCCATTTCGGTGGCTCGCAAGTATGGGAAAAAACAGCAAGTTGCTGACCTATACTGGCCAAAATGTACGCAAATCAACAACACTATTTTCTCTACATCGACCAGTATAGGTATACTGGCCACATACAACGAACTATTGTGAACCTCAAAAATTATATGTAAATAAATATTCAAACAGATTTGAAAAAATTCATAAATTTGAAAATTGGAAAAAAAGATAAATTTCAGTGTTTTATTTTATAATTAAATGTTTTAATGACCAAAAGAAATTTTTTAAAAATAATTATTTCACGGGCTAATTGGTCAGTTATTAAATAATGATCTTTTTTAAAAAAAATTTATTATTTAGTATTCTTTGATTTCGACTATAATCTATAGTCATCAATAGTTCCCAGATGATGACTATAGATTATAGTCGAAATATTGGACAATAAAAATCTTATAAAACTAAATAATAAATTTTTTTTAAAAAAGATCATTATTTAATAATTGACCAATTAGCCCATAAAATAATTATTTTTAAAAAAGTGTTTTATTTGGAAATTTTTAACATTTTTCCCATTCCTCTTAATTTTGTATTCATTTTAATTTTCAGTCTATGTTAATTATGTAATTTTATACAAAATCTATTATTATCAATGCCAACATACATTCAACTTGTGTTATTGGAATTTAGAGTTTTAACAATTTCTTTTGTTAATATGTAATCATATACTTTATATATAACAATACTATTTTAACAATATGATAAATCAAAATTTATCCATACAAACAATTCTAAATAATCGTCTTCACATTAAATGTTCAACAATAGATAACAACTAGAACTACTCTTCTTCAGATATGATGCTGATATAATTAAAAAACTTTATAAGATTCTGTAAATATCTCACATTTACATATATACCATATATATATATATATATATATATATGTGTATATGTGGTACATCTATATTACCACTTTATTATTAATTAAGACAGCCTTAGACATTGTAAATTTATTTATTTATTTATTTATTTATTTATTTACATTTACATGTGTGCGCCACATATATTTTATTTAAAATTTATAATGCTTTACAAATGCAAACAATTTTTCTCAGTGTATTTCAGTTTGACAGCAGCTGTTGGAGAAATGACAGTCAGATTGCTTAGCATACGGAAAAAAGTAATAGGCGTGAAGAAAATTAAGAAGTGAGTTTGTTTTTGTTATTATTAAAGTTAAATTGATAATAACATACTGTTTGCTTTGTTATAGCAGTCAATTGAAATATTTTATTACTTATAGTGAGTAATTTTTCTGTATTACGCAAAATGTCTATAACGGCTGAATCTATGTCGTGTAAGCATTTTCCAACAAAATATTTAAAAACTTCTAAAAAATATTATATATATTCCAGCTTTACGTCTTAAATATCACGGAAAGAAAAATATTTTGCTAGAAAAAAACCTAAAGAATAAGGAGCCATTTTCGTTATTTCGCGAATGGCTTGAGGTGGCATTGCAAACTGACGAGATATTAGAGGCCAATGCGGCGTGCTTAGCAACAGCAAATAAGTATGAAAATAAAGAAAAATTATTAAATGTATTTATTAATATATTCTGCAATTAAAATAATTTAAAAATAAAACTACTTTACAGAGCCGGTGTGCCATCGAATCGTTTTGTGCTGCTCAAAGATGTCACCAATGAAGGTTTCACATTTTTTACCAATTATGGTAGTCGCAAGGCACAAGACATAGCCGAGAATCCTAACGTTGCAATGACACTGTATTGGTGCCCATTGCGGCGTTCAGTGCGCATTGAAGGCGTTGCAACAAAAATACCACATGAACTATCTGCGGCTTATTTTCAACAACGTCCACGCGCCAGTCAAATTGGTGCTTTGGCAAGTGAACAGAGTCAAAGAATTCCTTCACGCAAGCATTTAGATGAGATTGAAGCTAAAATTAAAGAGAACTTGAAACCAGATGAACAAGTTCCTATGCCAAATTGGGGTGGTTATTTAATAACGCCAAGTTGTGTAGAATTTTGGCAAGGTCAAACGGATCGCTTACATGATCGCATACGTTTTCGCAAAGGCGAAAATACACTAAAAGTATTATTTGTTTGTTTTTCTATTTAATAAAATAATAATTGCTTCTTATTTTTGATTATTATAGGAGGTTGACAATAATTTAGTGCATTTGGGTGAAAATGGTTGGGTGTATGAGCGATTAGCACCATAAAACGTTTATGACTTTAAGCTGCGAAATAACGAAGTCTTCCATTTTATTGTTGTTATATCAAAAAACTTGTAAAATTATTTTACCAAATTTTGTTTTATGTTAAGGAAGCATAGAATTATTCCTAATCGAGCATCTATCAGATAAAGCGCACATAATTATAATAATAATGTAAGTATATTAAATTTTTATAAATATTTGTGGCAGCTGCAAAATGCTTAGGCATTTTTAAGTGAATTTAATAATTAAAATTAAATTTAAATTTATTATTGGAAAGGCAACTTACAAATAACTTAATATCGATATTTAAATGGGTTTTTGTACGAATTATTTTTGAATTATATCATATTTGTTAAGCTTATTATTGGTAATTAATATAAAATTTAAAACTATTTGAATTATTACATTGAAATAAATTGAGTTATAATTGCGATCTCAAACCAAAAATTGTCCTAATAGAAAAAGTCTCAAAGATCAACGATTTTTTTTATTTATGAAATATATTTGAATTGAATAATTTTTAAAAAATAATTTTAACGAAAAAAAAAAAATTGTATAAAAAGTTTTAATATACCAATATTTAATATCAATATTTGCATTAATTTTGAATCAAAATCAAAATATAAATACTAACAATGATGCAGCTTCATATTTTAATAGTTTAAAAAATAATGTAACGTAGATAAAAACTTAAAAAAATGATTATTATATATATGTATATGAATCTATGTATATACTAAGAATTTGGAACTTTCCCTTTATTAAATCAATATAATGCAGTTAGGGC